CTCCTGTAGCCAAGGAATAGCGAACGCACCAGTCCCCTCTCTCTCTGCTGCCTCCTTATCTAGGCAGGAGGCCTCCTTCCCACCCCCGAGTAGCTGAGCATCAGACTCCCTCTCAGGCATAGGAGAAGGTATGTTCAATTGATGGACCAGAGATTGCTTTTGTGATGAAGCTACATGTGCAAGATGAAGCAGCTAAGGAGTAAGGAAGACAGAAGTCATCCAGCACAGCAAACATGTTCCCTTAAACCAGGGGTCTCCAACCTTTATAACCACAAGATCACTTTCTGAATTGAAGTGCAATGTAAGATCTACCTCAAACCCAAACACCCTGGCCCCGCCTCCTTCATGCCCCTTCTCTGGGGCCCCGCCTCTGCTCACTCCATCCTCCCTCCCTTTCACCAGGCAGGGGCAGAGGGTTGGGACACAGGCTAAGGGATTTGGAGTGTAACAGGGGCTCTGAGCTGAGCCTGGGGCAGGGAGTTGGGGTGCAGGAGGGGGTTCAGGATACAGGGTCTGTAAGGGAGTTTGGGTCTAAGGAGAGGGGTTCGTGACTGGTGCAGGGGTTTGGGATTCAGGCTCCAGCTGGGCACTGCTTACCTCAGGTGGCTCCTGGGTGGTCATGCAGTGGGGCTAAGGCAGGATCACCCCTGCCCTGGCCCTGCACCACTCCCAAAGGCAGCCAGCAAACTCCTTCCATCCCAAGCCCTGTGCCCCTCCATCCATTCTGTAGAGATAGAATACTGGGTGGAAGGGGGGGCACCCCGACATCAGTGCCCCCCCTCTTCCTTCTGTGCTCTGCTCAGCAAGCAGGAGGCTCCCCAGGGGAGGGGCAGCTCCAAGGCAAAGGGCAGGAGGTGCGCAGCAGCAGGTGGAGGGGCAGCTGAAGTGTAGGCACTTGATAACCTCTTGGCCAAACCAGTCAGGATCACCTGTCAGAGGCTCCAAGGTCTACCAGGAGATCCTGATCGACTGCCCAGTGATCACTACCCTAAATAGTAACAAATGTCTACCAAGGGGAAAAGGCCCTTTGCAGTGGGAAAGCCAGGGAAGGAGGGCTGTGAGAGGCCAGGCTTTGCCTGGAAACCCCTGAGGTCAGCCAGACAGCTCTTAGAATTGTTGCTTTTGGAAGCTGCAACAGGGCTGGGCCCCAGCCCTTGTTCTTGGGACCTGCCTAGGCCTATGGTTTATAGCAGGGGTGGGCAAGAGGCTGCCAGTGGGCCGAATCCAGCCCACAGCTGCCTCGCTGGAAACCTTAAGCACAGTGCAGCATCAACTTCATATTGAAAGAATTCCATATCCAGGTGACAGCTACCTGAAAGTGTCCCTTAGGCTAAAGCACTCATGGGGTGAGGAATGAGGCACTCTTTGCTGATGAGAATACCAAAATCATATCTACTGCATAGCACATGATCATTGAACAAGGAATTTCAGTCAGTGTATTGAGAATACAGCCTATGTATGAGTTGGGGCTGACAGGCTCCTTTGTTCTTACATAGCCAGGTTTGTTTAGGTCTCTTTTATTTGTCACTGTAAAACACTGTTGTGCTTAAAGTTTAAAGCCAATTTGAAAGTTATTTTAGCTAATACCTGCAGAGTAACTTAACTTGAATGTTAGTACTTCCCCTTTAATCTACCTGAAGAGAGAGGAGGGAAAAGAGTAAAACCCCCTCAATTTTGGGTATGGACCCAATAAAATAATTCATATTTTGGTTTGTTAAGAAGTCATTTGTTTGTAGCCTTAATGATAAATGTTGCACTACAAAGGCACTGTCAGCTGGTGGCAAAAAAGCACTAGTTAACTGAATCTTCAATGTGGTGGAAAGCCAGAAATAGAATGAACAGAAATGTCACCAGATGAAATAGTAAACTGACTAGGACAAGATTTCCTGGGCTCCCCTCAAGCTTGTGAAATTCTTGATAAGGAATTTCACTTAACTGAATAGGATAGCCTATCAAATATACTTTCAGGGCAATTAGACATAAAGGTTATTGTAGACTTGCCCCAACACCACTAAAATCAACATAAAGACCTCCATTGACTTTGACGGGGGCTGGATCAGGCCATATGTGCATACTCTCCTATAGCCGTGCCAAGATATTTGAGAAGAGGATGTTAGAACCAAAACTCTAAAAGAGATAGAAGACCACCTTCCAAAAGAGTAAATCTGAAGAGCTGCAATAGGAAGGTGCATTAGATGTTTTACCATCTTCAAGCAATAAATATTCTCATGTAAATCAGCCTGTTCATTTTGAAATTGTTATACATCCACTTTTTTTCTTCTTTCATATACTTGATTATCACCATCATCCATACCCGATACCAGTTATCCACATGCAGCTCTATAAAGTCTGTCATGGAGGCAACGTACATGCAAAATTATAGTGAAAGCATTGATATGAAATATAGCAAGATGTCTACAGGATATAAGAGGAAGTGAAACATGATTTTTCAGAAAGAGGTGAAAGTCTAACCAGGCCAAAATAATTCATATACCAGAACTACTGAAAAAGGTGACAGAAGTTGGAAAAGGTGTTAGAGCTCACAAGACATATCACTAGGAGCATGGACCACAACCTACAAGTGAACGGGATGCGGTGGAAGAGGCATATGTAACAGAGACTTCATGGTATTATTTTAGTCATGCTATTGGAAAGAGACAACAATATGACATGAACTGGAAAGCACCTATATAACACATGAAACTATGTCAGAATATTTGCTCATCTATGTCTAGGTTTTCTGTCCGGAAGAGGACAGTGATGGCACTAACCTGGTGTGGCCTCCCCAGATGATCCTGGTGACTCTGCTGCTAGGACAGCTCGGAGGTCCTGTCAGCGTGGCACCCTCTGTGGCAGCTCCTCCTCCACACCCTGGTCAGGGCCCTCTGCTCCCAGCTCGCTGCCCCCCGGGGTGGCACAGACCATCCCGCCCCCCATGATGTGGTCCAAGGCATCAAAATAGGGGCAGGTGTCTGCCCCTGTTGAGGAGCTTCCTTGAGTGGCCCTGGTGTACGCCTGCTGGCTGCTCTCGGGTGTGCATGTGGCCTTTGGTGGCCCTGGTGGCCGCTATGCGGCCATACACGGTGGTATTTTTCCGTCTAGTGCGGAGATCATGGATATTGGAGGCCTCCCCCCAAACCTCAATGAGGTCCATGATCTCCACATTAGTCCAGGAGGGTGCCTGCCGTCTCTGGCTCCTGGCTGGCTCCTGGGAGCTGGGGGACTGGGCGGGGGACTGCTGGCTGGCTCTGGCTCATTGTGCGGGCACTGGGTCAGGGGCAGCGACTGCTGGGAGGCCTGGCTCTGGCACATGCACTGTGGCCAGAGTCTGCCCCTTTAAGGGCTCTGGGGCTGGGGGAGAAGAGAGGAGTTTTCCTGGTTTGGCCCAGAGTGGTCACCAGGGGAAACTGGGAAGGACTGGAGGTCCCCTATTTCAAAATAAGCGTCTACACAGCTCTTATTTGGAATTAGCTATTTTGAATTTGGTGTTATTCCTCACAGAATGATGTTTAACTAATTTGAATTAAGCCCCCCGCTATTTTGATTTTATTTTGAAATAATGGTTTGTCTGTATAGACGCTATTAAAGTTAATTCAAAATAACGGCTGTTATTTCGAATTAACTTTGACGTGTAGACATACCCTCAGACTCACATCCCCTTCTGCACCCCACTCTCCTACCCCAAGCTCCCTTCTGCACTCAACCTCTGTCCCAGACTCCAACCCCCCGCCTGTTAGAAATGTGGCCCTTGACCACTTACCAAAATCTTGGAGTTGCCCCCTATTAAAAATGATTGCCCAGCCCTGGTTTACATGGTGATTTTAGGGGTTTCTGCTGAAAATTGCTTGGCTTTCTCTTTCGTTGGGAGTTGACATTGTTTCCAAACTAACTCAGCCAGAGGTGCTGGCAGG